GGAGGTGGGAGAGCTGTGGAGTGAGGGAGATGGTCCCTAGGAGGTGGGAGAGCTGTGGAGTGAGGGACATGGTCCCTAGGAGGTGGGAGAGCTGTGGAGTGAATGAGATGGTCCCTAGGAGGTGGGAGAGCTGTGGATGAGGGAGATGGCCCCTGGGAGGTGGGAGAGCTGTGGTGTGAAGGAGACGGTCCCTAGGAGGTGGGAGAGGCATGGAAGCATATTTTCCCTGTGTCTTATAGAAGACCTCTGCACTGTTGTAAGTTATGGTGGCCTAAGGAGACACCTGAGGTGTGCCGCTGTGTTTGCCTCCGAGCCCTTGAGGTCAAAATAGAGGAGGATATTGGGCCTTGGCAGGGCAGGTCCTAAGCATCCTAGGAAGTTACAGGCCTGGGGTCTTGTGGCCCTTCTCTGCTCCTGTTTTTAGTTGTAGATGGACACAATACCTTTATTGTTCTTTTGGTGTTTCATATGGTGCTGAGGACTGGACCCAGGGCCTTGCACATGCTAGGCAAGCGCTCCGTCTCTGAGCCACAACCCCAGCCCTGCTCTTTGTTGTTTCCCACTAATGCTTAGAGTTCTTCTGTTTTCTTTTAGGCTGGGAGCTGGCACCCACAGGCCTGGCATCACCCAAGCAGGGCCCTCCTGAAGAGGAGCTGTCCCCTGTCACAGAAAGGCCAGGGCTCCCAAGGGACACTCCTTGTCCCTCCACAACAGAGGGAGCCTGGGAGCATGAGGTCCTGGGCCAGCCCATCAGGAAAGGCCAGGGCTCCTTGAGGGGATTGGAGTTCTTCCTCGAGGAAGCACCTCTTCAAAATCAAGGCACCAAAAGTCTCAAATTTGGGGAAAACTGTGTCCTTAGTTCCAACCCAGATGCATTCCCAGAGATCTCTAGGAGAGAATACTTCTGTACTTACGACTCTCAAGTTCCCAGCTCAGAGCACAGCTCGGGCTTAGTCAGTCAGCAGACCGGCTCCCCAGGAACTCAGCCCTGTGGAAGCCAGGGCTGCCGCACAACCCCTGAGCAGGCAGCTCCTGCAGCAGAGCCTCTGAGGAGCCAGGTGCAGGACAAGCCCTACAAGTGCGCCGACTGTGGGAAGGCGTTCAACCACAACGCCCACCTCACCGTGCACAAGAGGATCCACACCGGGGAGAGGCCTTACATGTGCAAGGAGTGTGGGAAGGCCTTCAGCCAGAACTCTTCCCTGGTCCAGCACGAGCGGATCCACACGGGGGACAAGCCCTACAAGTGTGCTGAGTGCGGGAAGTCCTTCTGCCACAGTACACACCTCACCGTCCACCGGAGAATTCACACGGGAGAGAAGCCCTATGAGTGCCAGGACTGTGGGAGGGCCTTCAACCAGAACTCCTCCCTGGGCCGGCACAAGAGGACCCACACAGGAGAGAAGCCGTATACCTGCAGCGTCTGTGGCAAGTCCTTCTCGCGGACCACCTGCCTTTTCCTGCACCTGCGGACCCACACAGAGGAGCGGCCCTATGAGTGCAACCACTGCGGGAAGGGCTTCAGGCACAGCTCCTCGCTGGCCCAGCACCAGCGGAAGCACGCCGGGGAGAAGCCCTACGAGTGCCAGCAGAGGCTCATCTTTGAGCAGACACCAGCTTTAACGAAACACGTGTGGGCAGACACCCTGGGCTGCAGCCCACCTCTGACTCAAGACGAGAGGACTCACCGGAGCGACAGGCCCTTCAGGTGTAATCAGTGTGGGAAGTGCTTCATTCAGAGCTCTCACCTCATCCGCCATCAGATCACTCACACCAGGGACGAGGAGCCTGGGGGGCGCCCCCGGAGACGCTGTGGCCGGAGCTCACTCCGCAGGCATCAGCCCACAAAAGCAGGAGAGAGCCCTGGGGACCAGCCCAAGGCTGGGCAGCCAGCAGGCGGGGCCCTGGCCTTGTTTGACATCCATGAGATCATGCAGGAAAAAAGCCCTGTGCATGTCATTGGGGTCGGGGAGCCTTCCATGGGCGCCTCYATGTTGTTTGATATCAGAGAATCCACATAGGAGAGGAGCTCTTCAGACGGCTCTTGGACCACAGGTACAAAAAAATGTGGTAAGTATGCACAGTCCACTCGTGGCAAGAGGTCTGGGGATAGGAGTGCTGGCGGGACCTTTGGCTTTCAAGGAAACACCTAAAACTGGTGGCTCCAAAATCTATCAAACCCTTTAATAATAGATCCTTTATGATGGTTCCTCCATCTCCCTAAAAGGAGTTCCCCAATAATAAAACCTACCCACATGTGTAATGTACAGAAGTCAGTATGTGGCCCATTTTGTAAAGGATAAATCAGAAGTATCTGTAATGGAAGAATGTGTACCGAGTCAGTGTGGAGGCTTGCTGTGCCACTGTGTGGGCCCTGTCAGGAGGGAGCCCTGGGCGGCAGCCCTTTGCTATGCCTGGTGCGGGGTTTGCTGTTGTCCTCACAAATACCATGAGTGGCATTTCTGTACCACCATAGTGACCAACTCTCAAAAGTTTTGGATAAAACAAAATGTGTTGCAATTCTGGGAAATTCTGTCTAAATTTAAAGTATGCAACAGTTAATATGTGTGTCTTTGTGAAGGAGAGTAGGTTAGCATCTTGGGGGGCGGGTCCTCACCTGCACACAGGTGGCACTGGGCCAGTTCTGCTTTTCACAGTCATTGCAGCGTGCATGGCTTCTGCCACGTTTCAGCCACACCCCGAGATCATCTGACAGCAGCCCCCACACTTCCTGGGATTACATCTGCTGTGGAAACCACAGCCTCAAAATACGAGTGTTGCTGAAGCTGCAGGTGTTCTGGTAGCTGTGGCTCAAGAGTAGCAGGCCCTGGTGTCTTGGGTCAAAGCCAAGGATCCACTCAGCATCCTGCAGGCCCAGGGCAGCTTTTCAGAAAAGGATCTTCCACCCCAGGTGTCCACAGTCCTGTGTGGAGAAGCTGTGACCAGCCCAGCACTGTGGCTGATGTTTCCTCAGCTCTAACTCCATTGATTGAAGTTGTACTCGTATCCTGCAAGTTTGGCTTTATCAAATGGGACCATCAGCTGGTTTACACACAGTACAATTCCCAATTTTCAGTAAATCCTTTTGCAGTCTTCATAATTGGTGTGAAGAATGGTAGAGAATCCACCTTTGTTTTAAAAGAATTTTTTTAAGAGAGAGAATTTTTTAATATTTATTTTTCAGTTTTTGGTGGACACAACATCTTTATTTATTTTTATGTGGTGCTGAGGATCGAACCCAGCGCCCCGTGCATGCCATCCGAGCGCGTTACTGCTTGAGCCACATCCCCAGCCCCCACCTATTTTTTTTTAATATTTATTTTTTAGTTGTAATTGGACATAATACTTCTTTATTTTATTTTATTTTTTTAATGTGGTGCTGAGGATTATTGAACCCAGGACCTGACACGTGCTAGGCGAGCACTCTACCACTGAGCCTCAACCCCAGCCCTCCACCTATTTCTCTCAATAACCTTTTAGCACTGACAGTTTTAAAACAGGAATGATGTATTTTCATTGTTTCCCCACTCATCTTCCCATCTCTTTCCTACCCTGAATTATTTTTACATTAGTCCCAGAAAATATTATTTTATCATATCTCTGAATATATTTCTGAAAAACAGGGAGTTTAAAATACACATATGACCAAGTTGATCACAGGACAAAGCCATTTTTATAGTCATCTAAGCTTTTTGGATTTTCTGCCACGTTGGTGTTTTGCACATAGCTAAGGACTGAGTTCAAATCAGGGCCGTGCCCCAAGGTCATTGTTTGTATTCTTCCCTTGGTCATTGTAGTGAAGGAAAAAATTTCATTTTACCTAATATCTATGATGAAACAAGAAAATCATGAAATTTTGTTGAATCTCAAAACTGTTGTTATTGTCTTACCTGAACAAATGCCATGAGACATCTGTTTTTCAGTTGTTCCCACTGCCTCATAAATTTTGTTTTGTTCTAATCATAATCTAAACAAGATCCACATAGAGCATATGGTCAGTATTTTTCTTTCTTAAATCTCTTTAATCATGCTGGTTTTTATTTCATCTTTTATTTGTTAGGAAGGAAACAGAATAACCTAAATTTTTCCTGCCTGGGCTGCCCATCACACCCTCCTTGCTTGGGTATGACAGACTGCCCTGATTTGTCACCAAGCCTTGGAGCCATGCTGAGGGCCCACGAGATCATGTGCCTGCCCCCTTTCTAGAGCTCTTCCCTCCTGTGGGGCCTCTGCTGGAGACCAGTGGAGGACCTTTCCTAGGAAGCGGACTTTCTGGCATGACCATTTACTGTCCAGCGTGGGAAACGTCGCCCTCTTGTTGCTTTCCTGCAAGTGTTCTGAGGAGAGCAGGGGTTGCCGACCCTCATGCTCGCGATTCCAGAAAAAAAGAACGTCATGTGGCACAGCACCGGGGCGTATAAACTGAAGATGTCAGCCTGCCTTGTGACCTACAGTGAAGCCAGCTGTGGGCTTCTGCGTGCCCTGGCCACAGCCCTTGCCTCGCCACCAGGACCCAGGTGTGGGCCATTCCTCCATGTGGTATTCCTGCTGCCGTTGCTTTCTAGTGAAGTTAAAGCGTCCCATCAGCATCAGCAATTGAAAGGAAGGATCGTGACCCATCTCCACTTGTAAAAATTGGTTCTTAAAAACAAACCGCAGAAGCACTGTCACATGGTCTGGGTGCAGAGTTGGACAGAGCAGTTTCCCTGGGAGACTCCGGCTACGCGGGATGACTGAGCGTCAGCACACACTGCCCCTGAGCTTCCTGCGACCACTTGTTCCTCAGATGCTGGGAAGGCCACGTGGTGGGGTTTCTGTTGGGCAGCCTGGCTTTCAGGATGCTCACCCAGATGCAGGACCCTGACATCACCCCAGCTTTCCCTCTGGGGCCGTCCTCCCGTTTCTCTTCCCAGCTCTGACTTCACGGCAACTCTGGGCCTTCATTTCTGGGCCCAGGCCACTTGCTGGTTCATTATTAGCAGGTGACTTTCCGTTTACATAGCTACCAGGTTAGCTCAGTGACAGTTCTGTGAACTGTCAGATGAGGACAATTAGTCACAGGGCAGAAGTAACCAGCTGCTGCAACTAGAGTAATCAGGGCAAGTCCGCAGGTAGGAAATAGTGGAGCCAGAATTCAGTGTCAGCTCCCAGTCACCAGTGGCCAGAACAAATTGGGCTTGGTCAGGACTGACTTTTCAGCCAGTCGGCGAGGGTGTTCTGCAGTTCTTGCATCTTTCCCTCGTGGTCTCAGGAAGAGTGCTGAAGCTCCAGCCCTGGCGCCTGTTGTCAAGACTGGGGGAGAAGGGCAGGCCAACACAGCCCTCTGATGACGCTTCAGAGAAAAGCCTTTCCTGGGAGCCTTTGCATGTTCCCAAGTCTTGTCACCCAAGACTGAGTCACAGGGCCACCCCTGGTCACGGTACTCTTAGCACTTCTAACTTCTGGGAGACAGGTTGTGGGCAGAGGGTGCAGATAGGCAGTGCCCCGTCTCCTGTGTTCCCACTCCTGTGGCACCAGCTTTGCAGACTGCTGATCTGCTGCTGCACAGAAACTGCTGGGCCTCTGCCAGGTCTCGGGGCATGGCATCTGCACCCCAGCCACTAGGTCTGCCGACCTGGCAGCTCTCCACCTCTTCAGGGGCTTCTAGTTTTCCCCTCACCCTCTAAGCATCAGGGTCCCACAACAGACGGGATGGTAGGTGTCATCTGCACCATGGCTTATGTCTCCCGCCCTCATGTCTAAGTCTGGTGCTTCTGAGTTCTGAACGCCAGGCCCAGACAGCGGCTCTCTGCCATTGGGCAGCTCCCCAGCAGGTACTGCAAAGCTCAGGAGCCCAACCTGCCCAGACCCTGTCGTTTCCCTCCAAACCAGCCCTCCCGTCGCTGTGATGGACACAGGCCATCCCACTGTTGAAGCCCGAAAATCAGCCTGCTTTGGCTTGCTCCTCATGAGCATTTGTGTGGCTTTACCCTGTAAATATCTCAGGTCTGTGGGCTTCATCCACCCGCAGCCTCTCAGGACAGCCCTTGGAGGAGGTAGCACTACCAGTGATGCAGCAAGACCTGGCCAGTCTGGTAACAGGCAGAGCATGGAGTGCTCCTGGGCAGGGGACATATTTATCCACAGCTCTGGTGGCTGGGCCTGGGCCACCCTTGGCCCCCAAAGTCACATCCTGAAGGGAGGAGCGTGGGATGCTGTGGTTACAAGATTGGAACACAGGAGCAGAGGAACGGGCGGTGGAAACGCACATCTTCGTTTCTCCTCAGTCCTTGTGCAGTCATGGTGTTCCTACCCATTTCCTTAGGTTTTCAAATAGGAAAATTCCTCAGGGGAAATTACTGAAAACTAGGGGAAATTTATCTGTTTGTGAAAGTAACTCAGTTCTTTGTGGCTAGACTTGGAAAATTCACTGAGTTTTTAACAAGTGAAAATTTATTTAAAATTTAATTCTTGGGGCTGGGGTTGTGGCTCAGCAGTAGAGCACTTGCCTAGCATGTGCGAGGCGCTGGGTTTGATCCTCAGCACCACATAAAAATAAAGGTATTGTGCCCAGCTACAACTAAAACTATTTAAAAAACCTCAATTCCTCATACTTTAACCATGTACAAATAGTATTACCATATAGATTTTCTAATTTTCCTTGCAATTTTTATTAATATGTTTGTAAACGCCTAAACATGGTGTCCATCAATTCAAATGTAGTTACCTCATGTAGAAACTCAGAATCCCTTCCAGCTCCCTCATAACTCCTTGTTATATGTTGAGCTTTTTCCCCTCACAGAGAAATTCATGTAGCTTGTGAAGACACCTTTCAGGAGGATCCTGACAGTGTGTGCTCCAGGGCGTGGGGCGGCCACTGAGCTCCAAGCGCACAAGCCCGTCCCTGCACAGTTCTYGTCGTGCTGTTGGTCTTGCAGGGAGCACGTACAGCAACCTCCACACACCCTGTGGAAAGTAATCAGTGGTGGAATGGAGACCACAGCTGTCCAGGCAGAGAGTCCTCACTAGTGTGGGCAACAATGAAAACAAACACATGTGGACCTGGTGTTTCCATTTGTGTAAAGAGAAAACGGCTGCTCACAGTCTCCAAGAGGATAAACACTTGGGGAGGGGTCCGGGGACAGAGAGGAGGAATGATTTTCACTCTGTAACTATATTTTTGGAATTTTAAAACCTGTAAAAGGATTATGTTAAAATAAATTTAACAAAAATCTCTTTCAGATTTTATAATTTGCTGGTTTACTGTCTGCCTCCCCCTGCTACAGTGTTTGCATAAGCAGGACTGCTGTATCTTATTCACACTTTTTACCTATATGTACTTGTGTGTGTGTGTTCATGTTACAAAACCAGCTGAGTGTAAAATAGCTTCTAGCTCCTTGAGGACATCAAAAATGAAAAGTGGGGCTGTAGCTCAGTGGTAAAGCACTGGCCAGCACATGTGAGGCACTGGGTTTGCTCCTCAGCACCACATAAACAAATGAATAAAATAAAGATATTGTGTCCATTTACAATTTAAAAAAAAAATAAATGGAAAGTGATTGTAGTGGGATTTGGGATGTGACTCCGTGGTAGAACATCCTTGCCTCGCATATGCAAGGCCCTGGGTTCAATCCCTACTACTGGGGTAGGGGGCGGGGGGGGGGTGTAACACAAGTTTCCAAGTTAATTTATTTAACTCCCTGTATTAGGACAAATTATGAGAAGTTGCAACACAAGTTGTGGCCAACAGCAAAGTATTCAATTTCCATGGTAACTGCACTTCCTCCAAGGTGTTCACATTATTTCTGCAAAGGGTAAGTGGAAGAAATCTGCATCTGTCGTGAAAATCAATAAGGCTCAATATAAACTTCTTCCAGAATGTACTGTCCAATATGACAGCCACTGGCCCTGAAAAGCTATTTAGGGATAAATTTAAATAAAATGAAATGCAAAGTTGACTGCTTCCATCACTAGTCACATTTCAGCTTTTCATATTTAGGTTTCTCTCACTGCAGAGACTCCTTTGGGTACTGCTAGTCCGAAGGTAAGTAGCTGAGAGGACTTTTTAAATGTAGGCTTGCGACTATCTAGAGGTAACGTGCCGGGTGATCCGAGTCAGCCTGACCGAGTGGTCTTCACCAAGTCACACCGGCGAGTTGCGGCTGTGCCCGGGACTTCCCTTTACTAGCAGTTTGACTGTCGACGGGAGCTGCGCTTTATCTCGGGGCGTCATCCTGGACCTAGGAAGAAGGACCTTCGCTGCATGGGTTTATATTTGCTCGATTTCCAGCTAAGGGAAGGGGTTGTGAGGACGAGTCCTTGTATCAGGAGGCTGCTGGACGCTCACTGCTAGCACGTGTGCAAAGCCTGCGTTTAGTACCCAGGACCAAAAAAGTAAAAAGTTCTGAGAACCAGAGCCTTTGAGACGGAGTCCCGTTTCTCCTTAGCTAGCAAAGCATACAGTGTGAACACGAAGTAACTGTTTTTAAGAAGTTTTRAGAAATGCTTAATGAACCGCTTCTCCAGGAAAGAGCCCGTTCCTCCCTCCGCAGTCTAACCAGTCAGGGCCCTGTTCAACCCCCAAGGTATTTTGGAAAACTGCCTTGTTTACAAGAAAGATGTCGAGATACTTTTTTTTATAAAAGGATCCTTTCTAGATTGAGGTCCACTCAAAGGGTTGGCAAAAAGCGTGGTTTTTCTTCGCACTTGAATAAAAGGGGAGGAGCTACGTGCAGCCCCAGTTCGCCAGGCCTCCTGGGAGGGTGAAGTTTTAGCGGAAGTGCGGCCGGGCTCGCGTCGCGCAGGGCCTCCTGGGGTTGAGGTCTGGCGGAAGTGCGGCAGTGGCTCGCGTCGCGCAGGGCCTCCTGGGATTGAGGTCAGGGGGATTTGCACCGATTCCTTCAAGAGGCGGCACCAAAGATATGAGCGGAGGGGCGGTGCACGTGAGTGAGGAGCAGGAGCCACCCTGGCTGAGTACCTGAGCCGCGGAAGTCACAGGTGGCAAGTGGGGCCTGGGAGGGGTTGACCTAGGGTGGGGATCTCTGGCAGAGAACGTCACGATGTTTCCACTGGGACAAGGGGCGTCCTGTGTCTGACACCGCCCATGCGCGCAGGGTACACCCCAGGTGCGTGTGACGAGTGTGGCACCGCCCTTAGGGTGTGCAAGGGACACTTCCAGGTGCGATAGTGTGACACAGCCCAGGTGCGCAGGAGACATCCAGGTGTGCATGACGAGGGTGACACCGCCCACATCAGTGCAGAGAAGCCCCAGGTGTGCCTGTGGCTGGGTCGTCACCCCTTGTGAGCCCACCGTAGGGAAGGGGTGTCCTGCAAGTGTTAACACCACGTGTGTACAGCGGCTGCTGTCTTGGGTGTGAGTGTGCCCTGTGCCCTGGGTCCCTCCTGGTCTCCCCCTCCCCAGCCCCTGGCAACCACCTGGACACTTCATATAAATGGAACCTTACAGAACGTTATTTCTTATGTCTGACTTTTTACTGATCATGTTTTGAAGTCCTTTTTGTAACATGAAAAAAAAAAACACTTTTTTTCCCAAGCCAAACTGTATCGAGCTTATTAAAGATAATTTTCATAAACAATCATGGTATTTCAGGTAGGAAATGGGCAGACATCCTTAACARTATACGACAACTTTCAAACTCCCTTCTTGGATGGACTACCAAAATCAGAAAGCCACTACAAAACCCAATGAAGTCTTCATTGGATGCTCAGAATTGGGAAAGTTTCGAGTGAGGTTTAACATTTCACATTTAGCATGTTGTTTAACAACGTTTTACAAGCTGACCCTGACTTTCAGGAAATGAAGTGAAAATGGCAGAATTATTAATGTGAAGATCCACAATCTAGAGAAGGAACTGCTGCTCTTCTGAGGGACACCATCTCAATGATGTCACTGGAAAGTCGAGATTGCCTGACACGCTGATAACACCAATTGTTGGGAGTCCGGTCCCAACAGGTCTGAGTTTAGGGGAGTTAACTATGCCTATGGTAGAGAGGGAGAGAAGGACGCAAAGGTGAATTTGAGGTTTTGCATACCACAAAGTATTTGTGCCAAGGTGGCTGTGTGTGCCAACATCAGGGAGCCAAGAGGAAGTCTCTTACAACCATCAGGGAAAGGTGTGTTCCCCCACAGCAATCCAGCTTTGGAGACATTCTACTAGTGACCTAGGCTCCTTCCCTTAAAACAACAATGAAGTGTTCTGTGTGCTAACAACATAGCTTTAAAAGAAATGATAAAGGAAAACAAAATTCTGCATTTTTATAAAACTTGATAAAAACTAGAATTTCAAACTGTACAGCCACCAGAAGTCCACAGGTATCAGAAATGCACACACTTCTTCCCTTGGTGTCTCCAGCACCTTGGGCTTTCTACGCCTGGTCTCTTTGGGTCTCTCATTTCCTGCAGGGTTGTCCCCATCCTTGCCAGTGTCAGCTGTTCCTTTTTCCCCTTTGGGGACCCTCTCTCCCTTATTGGCAGGGGCCTTTTAAGGCTTGGGCTCTGACTTTGGAAGAACAGGTTCAGCAGACAACCCTGAGGATCTTTGTGATGTGCCCTTCACCTGGGCTTTATCTCCTTTAGCATCCCCTTCAGCCTTTCTCTTGGGCATGGTGGTGACAGTGGTAGGACAGTGGGGAGGGACGCAGCAGTGGGTAGCTTTGATTGGTTCAAGGGTCATTCTCACTTCTTCTTCACACTGCTCCAGTTTTTCACTTCTTTTTATGGCTGAATATGCTGTTGTATGGTATGCCACAGTTTGKTGACCCATTCATCAGTTGATGGACATTTGGGTTGTTTTGAAATCTTCTGATAGAATAAACCATGTTGTGAACATTTACAGATTTTGTATGGATTTATGTATTTGGGAGGGGCAGGCAGCCRGTGGGAACAAGGCTGAGGAGCATGACCTCAGCATGTCTCTGTTCTGGGAGCTTCTGTGGGCATGTGACCATACCTGATACTTGAGACCTGTGTTCACTAACCATGTTTCACTTCCCAGAATCACAGACCTGAGCTCCCTGAAGTCAGAGCAAGGAGCCCAGAGTCCCATAGCTGTGTGTGAGTTGGGAAAAAGACAATGCTCTGCAGGAATCTGTGCACGTCACCAGCAACATGGGCCTCTGCTCAGCACTGAGACCATAGCCCCCCACCCACCCTGTAGCTGCTGAAGCCAAGCAGCCTGGGACAGAGCAGAGAGGGGCCCTGGTGGAGCCCAAGGAACCAGCTGAGGAAGACAGCAGGAGGTAGTGACAGTGGTACAGGAGGCAGGCACAAAGCTAGGTGACCTCTGAAACCAGATCTCCCAGAACACGTCCTGCTCCTGCAGCCCTGTTCCACTGCCAAGCCTTCCTCATTCCGGCGGGGACTACGCCTCCTCTCACTTCTCCTGCCTCCCACGTCTCCTGCTTCCCGTGGCTATTCCATTACATTCCACATAACACCAGCAGTGGGGTGGGAGTATTTTTTATTAATTTTAGTTGCTAATGTACCATTTATTTATT